TGCAACTTTTTGCTTATCCCCTGACTTAATTGCAAAGCTAAGCTTTAAAACTTTTTTTTAGTTTTTTCTGATTTTCCTTTTTTTTTTTTTTTTTAAAATAGGAGTGAAACTCGGGCGCGGCGAAAGCCGGCGTGCCACACGAGGCTGTCACAGCGCTCTGAGTCACGCAGGGCGGCTGCAGCATGATTTTCACAACGGGACACTTGACTGCTGCAGGCGTGGGAGCCCCAAGTCAGTACCAGGAAAAAGCTGGTGATGTTGGAACTTTTATCTTGCTGTGCAAGCAATGGTTCATTTTCCTTAGCGTTCTGTATCCGAAAAATTGATCTGGTTAACAATAGTTCTTGTAAATTATATCCTTTGTAAGAAAGGCAGGGTCCCTGAAGAACTTCTGAGCAGTTTATAGTCCTTTTTGCTGCTGTTTTGTTTCTTGGAGTTTATTCTATTGTTAGGACTGCAGTCTGTCTTCTTGCTATTTGTTTGCCATATGTTTTTAAACTTTCAAAGTTATTATAGCTCAGGTGTGATTTTGGCATGAGAAGGAAGGTTATCATACTCCGTCTTCTTCCTTCCTCCAATTGCTTGCAAAAGTATTTGGTTCATTGTGCCTTTTGGTGGCTTTGGGGACCTCCTTGATGGAATTAGGCGATGATTTAGCCTCTTCAGTAGAGAAAGTAGATGGAAATAGAAATATACAAAATCTAAATATTTTGCTTTACAGTTTGCAAACTGAAACAGGTGCAGAAAACTTTCTCACGCTTCAACCCTTGTAAGGCTGGAAAAAGTGCTTCCTCTTAAACCACGGGCCTCTTTGCTGTCTTGGAGTGTGTGGAATGAGATGCGAGATTAGAGCTGTACCCCATGGACTGAAATGTAATACCTCATGTCCTTAAAGCTGCTACAAGGCCAACAAGATACTTAATGAACTATTGCATGTGGAGAAAGCTTTCACCGTGCTCTGGCCGCCTTGCAGCTGTGAACAGATCACCTGGGGACACCGACTGCCAGGAAGGGCTTGAACTCGTTATCTTCCCATTAGCAACATTTTATTCACTTGCAGAATGACTGTAGGGTCAGATTCTGTAGTCTGAAGTTTCTGATGTTTTAAGCTCGTCTTTACTCTCGGACATGACAGGATCTGATGAGCAGCAGAAGAAGCGAGAACACGCAGCTGGGGCAGGGAGAGGGTGGGAGTTCGCATCCTGCTCTGAGCTAGGCTAATGCTGAGCCGCAGGCTTAGGCACGCCTTGAGTTAGGCTGCTTAGTCTCTCGGTAAGGAAATAGAGTTTAATGTCACCCTACGAAGAATTCTTACTTGGAGACTAGAACAATAAATTGCACCTGTGGACAGTAAGCTGAAGCAGCTATAAATGTGGTAATACAGAAAAAAATAAGACTGTTAAATGCAAAATGATGATACCTTTAATATATTTGTCTGGCTCCCTATTACTGCATTTGGTACCTGGACAACATGAGACAATTGTCACATGTGCTGTGGCCACCTTATCAAAGTAAGGCTAAGAAATAAACACTTAAAATCCAGTTACCATTCAGCGTGTGGGAGGAGAGTCTTGTCATAGCTGAGATTCTTTGGAACTTGCAGTATTCTTTATAATGTTTGCTTATGTATTGTTGCACAGTGTTTGGTCTTCTTTTAAAATCCCTTCCTCTTGGAAGCATGGCTCCCGTAGCTGTGAAGTGCTGCGCTCACGTCTCTCCAGCTGCTTTTCCAAATCTTTGCCATCCATCCTTGATACTGCTTCGCCCATAAACTAAACGGTACCATACGCTAATTGGTTGGCCTTCAGGGAGGATGTGTAACCAGTCTTGTCCCCTGTGGTTTGCACAGCCCCAGGCTTGCACTGGGATTACTGGGGAGCAAGGCCGTATTGCCCTGCTCCCCCGAGCAGTTGACGTTGGGTCCTTCCAGCCCCTCGCAGCTCTGGGACGCGAGGCGTTGTCCGTCTTTCCTGTGCTGGCTTGAAGCTTTGTCTTTGCACACGAGTTTCACTTCAGTCATTTACAAGATTTGAGACCAAACCAGTTGAAAGTATGTTTGGGGTTTTTGCTGTTTATGCAATAAACATGCTTTTTAGGAATCGGTACCTAATTCTCTGCTCAGTTTCCTGGGGAGAAGAGCACAAGACTTGGGTGTAACAGTTAATTGCAGAGAGTTACTAAGTTTGACTTAAAATGATTAATTTGAATATGTTTTGAAAATGTTGCACAAATGGCCGTGAGATTATGAAGTATTTTGGAGATGGTATTAAATTGTACTTATCGTGGTACCTTTCTCGTGTGAGGAAGCTGCTTGTAATGTGGTGGTAGCCTTTCACGGGTCTCGGACGTATGGTGAGGTATATCAGCAACGTTGCTGTAGCGTGCAGAGAGCAAACCTGTGCTTGGCTTAGTAGAACCATTGCCTCTAGTGCAACAACCTACTCGGAAACCGCACTTCTGTTGGCGTAAATGTAGCACGTTAGCCTTTTCTACTGCAACAGCAGTGAGGAATTGCTCTTTTTTTACATAGTTACGTGACAGTTAATGTGAACCTAGCCTTACGTTTATGTAGTGCTCAACTTGGTGCTCTGAAGACGTGCTGGCACATATCCTAACGTTCTCTTGACAGTGAATTAAGTTGCATGTCAAAGTAGTGTTAACTTCTCCATGTTTTCAAGTGACGATAATGAGTATGGTCCTCACTTTGCTTTTACAAATAATGGTGTGATCTGCCCTAGGGCATCAAGTTAATGGTTTCTAGCGCAAATACATTTGTTAATTTAATCTTTTATCCCTCTTATTGCAGCAGCAGTTTTGTAGGGCTTGTGCCGGTTTCTACCTTACCACTAGAAAGCTGAAGGTCACTTTGTGGTTAAGGTGCTAGTTCAAAATGTCACGCTGTGCAAGGGCTCTAACAGGGCAGGTCTGTGAATCCTGTTACGGTCCCATCCCCAGCTTGTCTGCGTGACAGATTCGGGCTCCCCTAAGGTGCTGAGGCTGATCAGGAGCAGCTGAAGTGCCAACGTATGTTCTGATTTGCTTGCTCTGATGGCAGCGAGGTAAGTGCCGGCGGAGCTGGTAACAACTAGCTGCCCGGTTGTACCACTTGCCCTTAGCTGTATAGTGAGCACGTGTCCCGCTTACTGCGGTGGAGAGAACGGCTAAAGCTGTTCTTGGAGGAAGGCGGTGTTTATTTGAGAAAAGAGCTTTAAACGAGAACCCTGGGAAGCAGACACGGTATTCGGTGAAGTTGCAACTGTGTGAACTTCGTAGTTTCTGGCGTGTCCAATAACTTCAATCAGCAGTGTGTGGGATAACGTTGTACCTAGCGCACTCCCTGTTGCAAGCTGCTTGGTTTGCCAAGATAACCCTGAACTTCATACAGGACTGCAGTGGTCCTGTCAGAATATATGTACCTATTTTTTTTTTTCCCAACAGTGATGAATTGAAAATACTGATGTCAAGCAATAGATGCCTAAATCCAAGTTAATTAGTTTCCCTGTTTTACAGATGGGGTCGAGGATTCGGTCTGTTGGGTTCCATCTTTGGAAAGGACAGTGCAATAAATCAGTCAAACAGTGTTTTTGGCCTCGTGTTTTATATACTACAAATGCTACTTGGTAAGTATTAATTCAGTTTAGAGCCTAAAGTATAAAACAGGTCTGTGGTGATGAGAGAGGAGCGTGTTATACGTTGTGCAATCTGCAAGAGACCAGATAAATGCATGTGATTTTTTTATTTTTTTTTTTAGCACCAGTCTAATGATACATCTGTCCAAAGGGCTTAAAAACCCAACTGATAACAAGAGCAATTGCATTTTCTCCTGCTGTGCTATTAATAAGTGTCAAGACAGTTGCTGCATTGGTATTTTCACTTAAATATATTTAGCATTGGATTGCATGATAGAAAAGAGAGGAAAATAAAATGGAATATACAAGTTTTTCAGGAGTCATAGAGATGGCAGGCAAAAAAGTGCATGAAATGTAACGTATACATATTTCTTCCTAACTATATGGTCTGCTATAAAGCTGTTAATGCTGACAGACATAACTTGACCAACCTGTAACTTTCCCGTAACTCAGGAATACGGAAGATGGTAAATACTACACATACTTCTTATCAAAGGACTGTCGTACAGAACCTAGAAGCTCCCCTCCAAATAGCGATTTGTCAGCCATCTTGAAGTCATGGTATTTTAAACAGCCTTTCATGTAATACAACTTTGCTGAGTAGCCTTCGGTTTGAATTAAGTGCTTAGGCGTTTTGCTTTGTGTGGAGGGGGGAACGAGAGCAGCGGTAGTAACTCTCTCTCTCTTGTTGCAGGTATGACAGCAAGTGCAGTAGCAGCTCTAATCCTCATGACATCCTCCATAGTGTCTGTAGTAGGGTCATTGTACTTGGCATACATTCTGTACTTCGTGCTGAAGGAATTTTGCATTGTCTGCGTCATCACATATTTGCTGAACTTCATTCTCTTTATCATCAACTACAAACGACTAGTTTATTTGAACGAGGCCTGGAAACGGCAACTCCAACCCAAACAGGAATAACGCCTGTTTGAACTTTTGACTGACAGTCTGAAGACCCAACTTCCATTAAGTTTATTTTGCAGTAATTTTTTATTCTCCATATCAGACACTTTCCCCGAGAATCATAACTGAATTTTTAATTATAAATTCGAAGGGGCCCTAGATAATTTTTTTGTGCTAATCTTCAGTATAAATGTGGTTACGAAAGAAAGCTCTAATACAATCAAAGACAAGCTTTAACTTTACTTTGAAGGAGTTTTAGCCACAGCAAAACCTAGACTCTCTCCTCCCCCTCCACTTGTGAAGTGGGTAACACTTGCTATAAAATACCCTGTATATAAATTCAGGTATAACAAGATGTGCTCATGACATTAAATATTCTAGACTAGCATTACCATATTTAATGTTGCCATGTTTACAGTATGTGTATTACTTTTTTTAGCTGATGGACTTAGATTCGACTAGGACTTATACTGTAAATAAAATTAGAAATATTGGTTTCATCCCTGGAGAACTCACTGTACAATCAGTTTCGTTAGCCTAGGAGCTGTCGGAGTGTTCAGCTAACAGTCGACTGACAGGACGGAAGAAGTGACCTCTATAGAGAATACCGTGTTGCTGCACTCACTGCTAGTGCTTTCACAAGAATGATGGTTGGGGTTTGTTCCTTTTTTTTTTTTTTTTTTTGTCGTCTCCAGTAACGAAAATGGAATTAAAGCTGAAACCTGAAGTACGTTCATTAAACCACAACTTCATTAATTTCTGTACAGAATGAAAATAGCTTAATGTGGTCAATAGAAAGCTGCCACCGGGATGTTATATGCAGATTGGGGGTTGGAGTATCAAAGTGGTCTTTGAAAGGACTTAATTTCCACGCAGAGCTGTTTCATTTTTAAACTGCGGTCAGCCAGCCAGTGTTACTAGTGTTTGATGTTATATGAATGCTGCAGTATAGAATTGCAATTTGCAGTGGAAACCACTGACGGAGCGGGATAACCAAGTAGTGCACTGAAGAAGCAGTTCCTTAATTGATCTCCGTCAGGATCTTTGATTTGTGCTATATTGGGAAATGAACTTTAGGCCTGACACACATAAGATCCCTTGGAAGGGCAACCTGTTTAGTGGGATAAGTAAGTAAATGTGCTCCTGAAAACGAAATGTGATATAGTGCTATCATTGCTCTTTCTAATAACTAATTGGAAAAAAAAAAAATTAAACTGCAGATGTAAGCAAAGGAACAAAATTGTAAATGTTGTTTCTGCACTCAGTATTCTAAGGCTGAATGTTAAAAGTGCCTTCTGTCTTAAAATCTTAAACCAAATACTTTGTGTTGAACTTGGCAGGCAGAAGTGTCCTTGCTTTAAAAATGAACAAACAAACAAACAAACTTCCCAGCAAACTTGCTGGGGACAGAAGAGTATTAAGAGATCTATTTTAGTTTTTAGACTGAGAAGTGGTAGCAATGTTGTTTCCGTTAACTTAAATCACTGCGCTAGAAGGTTGATGATGCGATTCGCAAAATACTTGTGTTTCAGACTCTGTGACACCAAAATGTATAGGTTCAGCTGCTTTCTGTAATTGGTGCTGTGCTGCTTTTTGCCCTTGTCAGCTTCTAAATATGAAGAATTCCAACTGCGTACCCATTTATTTAAAGAATTAGTTGAACTAATTTTAGGATTTTTTTTCTTAAACGTGAATGTCGGAGACACTTACGTTGTACGGCGAAATGGATTATAAACACTAAGTTGCTGAGGATAAACTTGACGGTGAAACATGCGGTGTTCCGTAGAGAAAATAGAATTTTTAGATTGAATTCACAAAATAGTATTTAAATTACTGCTGAAGTGATTTTCTGGTTTGTATCAAGGATGTAGGTGGAAACTGCTTTTATGTATAGAATTCTGTGGTATGAGTAACATCTGTTGCATGTAACACTAAATTACTTGTCCCTCTTGTCCAACAGTTTTAGACAACAATTCATTAAATGCGTTTTGTATTGACCAGAGTATAGTTAAAGCTTGTCTTGATGTTTAGTTCTGTCTCTCAAATGCCTTGAACTTTGATACGAGGGGAGTGAATGATTTTAAACTGGTCCCTCGAGGCTTTACTTTGTTCTCTCGCAAGCCTCGAGGCAATATCACTGTTTAATATGTTGTATAGATTTATTTTGATGCCTTAGGGTAGATCACAGGAATGCATCTTTTTCATCCAAGGAGGAG